AGAGCCAGAGGTTTGAACAGCCACCAACAAAATCCCTGGGATAACCAGCAAACGTGTCCACTGAGCCCTCCTGCCATCCACAACCCTGTCTGAAAAGCCAGTCACCAGTTCCCAAACACACAAATGGTTTGCTCCCCCTGGAGCTGTGCACTGTCCACACTGCACTCACTGGACACACAACCAAAGGTTGCATTGGAAGGTTTCAAAGGCATCAGAAGAGGCAGGAGATATAAATGATCTCAAGTAAAATGTGTTTTCATAAGATCCCAGTCCTGGAAAACCAAATTAACTGATGATGTTTACAGTCATGTAGGTGATTTCAATTTCAGGTAAACCATTCTCTGCCACAGAGGTAACAGCAACCTTACTTTTTTTTTTTGGTTGGGGGAAAGTGATGATTACTTCCTTAGTACTCTTATAAAAGAGAAGAGCAGCAATTACCCCTTTTTTATTAATACTGCAGATTAAACTACATATCACAAAAAAGATCTGCAAGTGAACTATGGGCTAGCAGACTAAAAAAATCTTTTTCTCTCCCAGATTTCTCCCGTATCTAGTAGTGATAAATTTAGAACTACACAGCAGATTTCAAATGCTCAACAAAAACTAATTAGAAGGTCCATCCATCCATACATGCTGAACACTGCCTATTTTCAGTGTGTTTGTTACCCTCTGATTTCCTGTACTTAAAAAACTCTCTTCAAGTCTCAGTTTCCTTTTGAGCCACTGTGTCACTCCACTGACACAACAGCAGCTCTGTCTGGAGAAACAAAATTAGTTATTCACTAGTGCACAGCAATTCCATATGACTATTACATGAGCTAGGAAAGAAGTTGAGGCAAATGAAAAATATATCCAATTAGAAGTAGGCAGGTAAAGAAAAGAGGAATTTTGCCAAAGGATTAATACTCCTAGTTTTGAAAAGGTAATATTGCCTTTCTAATGATCACAGAATAGCTAACCTATACCTCGCCCAGAAAACAACAGATTCAGCAGTATTCCCTCATGAGACAGTCCTCTTTACTAAGCACTAAGTTGCTCATAATTTGATATTAAAGCATTTTTGCCAGGTTGTCTTCTACACAGTCCAAGAGAATGTGCCTAGGAAGTAGGAGGCAAGAGAGCAGGAGGCTGTCTCTCCTCCATTTCAACCTCTTAGGCCAGAAGAAATGTTTTCCCTCCTACCTGGAGTCCCCATCTTGATCTTCTGTGGTGTCACCAGAACCATTCACAGCATATCGACTCCTTGGCTTGTCTGAAGCAAAGAATAAAGATAAATTTACCCAGGAACAATCTGCTTAATGTGTGTTTGCATATTTTTCTATTCTCACTCAAAAGAACATAAAAAAGATAGGAGAAATTTTTTATCCTACAGGGGATGAAGAGGAGAAAGTGAAACATTCACAGAAACTGACACGGGTAACAGTTTGCAGTTCAAGAGTGAAAAGTAAAATTCTGACCAATGTAATTTCCCTCCTTGTTGCTCAGGTTTTGGGACAATTATAATGCTCCCACAGTCACAGGAAGGGAAATCCTTTACCAACAAAAAGCAGGAGTGGGGTGGCAGAAAAACAGTCAGCAAAGGGAAAAAAAACAAGTAATCTTTCAGATTTTATCTATAAAAATGGAAAGGGAATTAGAGATGATTCCTCATAAACCTACTCACAGCCTAAGCAGGGGAGTCAAACTTCTCCTGACACAGCCATTAGCACACAGCCCAAATCACACAGCTTCATCACCCTGCAGCACCTTTAGGCTCTGACACTGGTCCCAGCCCAGCCACAGGCACTGTCCCAAATCGCGTGCCTCCAAGCAAAGGTGCTACCACTGCTGGTACCTGAATAGTCACGGTCCTGTTTTCCAGGAGAAATTAAATCTCCTCCAGCACACTATTCAAGACCACAGACTAAAGTTTTGTCATTTCTACCCATTATTGGTTAAAGCTTATAGTGTTTACTGAACCCCTTCTTCAAAATCAGTGCCTTCCTTCTCACCCTGCCTCCTCCTTCCCCTGCAGCTCCCAAAACCCACGGGCTTCACCTGCCCCGGGGACAGCAGTAAGGCACCAGGTGGATAATGACACCTGGTAGGAATGTGGTTCAATTGAGGTGAGATGGGAGGGGGCCCGGGGCACCTGCAGGGCAAGGGTTGAGAGGTGCAGAGTCCCATGGGGAGCTGGGAGGGGTGCCAGGTTCTCATGGCCCGTGTGAGGGAGGGGTGCCAGGTACCCATAGAGAGTGTGAGGGGTGTGTGGGATGACAGACACGAGAGACTGTGAGGGTGTGGCGGGGGGGGTGCCAGGTACCCACAGAGAGTGTGAGGGGTGTGTGGGATGACAGACACCAGAGACAGTGTGAGGGTGTGGTGGGGGGGTGCCAGGTACCCATAGAGAGTGTGAGGGGTGTGTGGGATGACAGACACCAGAGACAGTGTGAGGGTGTGGCGGGGGGGGTGCCAGGTACCCACAGAGTGTGAGGGGTGTGTGGGATGACAGGCACAAGAGACTGTGAGG